CCTCAGGGCCAAATACTGAACTTCTGGCCCCTTGGCGAGCAGGGTGACGAGTGGAGGTGAGAGTTTGCGGCACAGGGCAGATATTTGCTTCTGGTCGGAGATATAGTTCATCAAATAGAGTACCACACGTATGCATGTCAGAACGACGGCCGAATTGGAGTGTGATAATCGAGGGGCGATGCGCTCTGCGAGAAGAAGCGCTTCGCCGGATTCTTGTGGCACGTATGACATGAGTGCCTCCAAGATATATGTCTGGCCCCATCTTCGCGAGTCAGCAGATACAAGGCAGATCAGAAGGGTAGAACCTACTCAGAGCAATCGGGCAGGATTGATACCATCTTGGAGGCGTTACTGTAGTCGATGGTGAGTTTAATAGCATCACTTCGCTCCCAGATGTCCATCAAGCTGGCCAGGGCACTCGCGACCACCGTAGGGTTGTCGTCCCTTAGCAGGTTGTTGAGCTTGTCGATAAGATCTGATGCCTCGACCATGTGCCTATCGTGGTCGTACAGCTTTGCGACGCAGAACGCCGCCGTCTTTCGAACATAGGGATCGGAGTCGCGGAGGATGAGCTTGACGATGGGCACAGTGGCTTCGACGAACTCTCGCACGTGGATATAAGACATGGTTCGCAGCGCTAGCGCTCGGACAAGGGGGTTGGGATCTTCCATATCCTACACGACATCAGTAACAGACCACCAAGACCAGCGTCGACAAACGTACGTGTTCCAACACCGGTATTGCTTTTACGGCGATCTCGGGGCGCATTCTTGCGTAGTTGACGAGGAACAGAAAGCACCTGTGCAGTCAGCAGCTGCCCAGCCAACAGAGACAGAATGACCTACATCTTCTTGATCTCCAGGCTCTGTATCGCCATGCAGCCAATGATGTCGGGGAACAGGGCGACCATGTCGTTGTTGCTCATGGTCATGTTGGCGACGATCTTCTTGAGCGCAATCTTCTTGGTCGTAAAGTTCTTATCCTTCTTGCTGCCGCTGTTCAGCTCGAGGCGCAGCTCGGCCACCTTGCCCTGCGGACCCCGAAAGGGGGAGTCAGTCGGCGGGGGAACATATGCCATGAACATCGCGACGGTGGGTTGTGCGGGCATGGCCGCGGAGGAGTTGGGGAGGGACGGGGGATCGTGTCTGAAATGGGATGTCTGCAACAGGCAAGGGAGAATATGCTATCTGCTGGAATGGGGGCTGTCACCCCTTCCAGACCGATAGCTTCCCCAACGGCTGGGACAAAGAATGTGACGGTGATGGCAATGGGGTAAAGGAGTATTAGAGAAAGGAGTCAAGGTGAGGCTTACTCGAGCAAACAGCTTGGAGTCGCCTCCTCCTTGGACCGTCGCCATATTGCCGACAACGACTGTGGCACTGGTGAACACCCGCGCTCCTCAGGTCTCTCTCCCACCCCAAAGCCCGGTCGGTTGCGATTCTGGTTCCCGTTCTGGTTCTGGGCCGTGGCTGCCGAGCAAATTGGGGCGCACGCAGAACAACAGTGTGTGCGATACCCCTCACGCCGAGGTGTAGGTCTGCTGAGGCCGCCCACCGCGCGCGCTGCCACTGCCAAACCCAAACTTGCCGATTCGTCACGCGCGCTGCAGGTATAAGATCGTGGGTTGCTTCGCGGGGCTTGATCGAGCCGTCCTGGATTTTATTGACTGACGGTTACGGTTGAACGCGGTGCTCTCGATTGTCGGCCCCGATCGCGGTTATCTGGGGGCCAGCCGGGCGTGCACGGTCCCTGAAAGTGGGCACAAGCGCGGCGGCCCACCGTGCTGTCGAACGGTCGGGTTCAACCGATGGAGCTCTTGCTCCACTTGAACATTACGTCGCGGCTCCAACAAACCCTCCACGGTCAAACACCTCACAATCCCGTGTCGCAATCCCCGTCGACCGCGTCGCCGCGCCCCTCATGTCCCAACTACAGACCTCCAAGGCAGCACCGAAATGGGTCGCCGAACTGAGCAATCCCCCAGCGTATCGGTCCAAGAATAACGGGATCCCTGATCCACCGGGCTATCCATCGCAGACTTCCGGATCCAAGGCAAGCCGCCCGCCTGCTCAAGCAGCTCGTTGTCGATGCCAAAATTGACACACGTTACAGAAGAAGGATGCCGCGAAAGATGGAAAGCCGCAGCGGAAAGCCCCGACGCCCGAGGAGATGGACACACTGAAGCTGAAGAAGGCATGGGAAGTTGCCCTTGGTCCCGTCAAAGGCCTGCCTATGACCGGCATCATGATGTATATGTCGGGCAACTCGCTACAGATCTTCAGCATTATGATGGTCTTCATGGCCTTCAAGAACCCCATCATGGGTATCCTCGGAACCAACCAGGCCTTCGAACGCTTCCAGACCGAGACCAACCGCGCAAAGATCGTTCAGGTGAAGCTGGCCTACGTTGCGATGCAGCTGCTAGCTTTGGCATTGGGTATATGGAAAGTGAACTCGATGGGCTTATTACCGTGGGTGCACTGGTTGGACCAACTTGCGAGCTTGACTGACCTCTCCCAGAACAACAAGATCAGACTGGCTGCTATGGGAAGCGCAGCGCGAATCCCTAGAATACGCAGTACCCGCTTTATAGACTATTAATTGAAGTCCAGCATGTCAGCTGTCGTCGAGGTCAAATTTGCCGTCCAGATCAACTTTTGTCGTCCAGTGTCGTCGTTCTTATCTCCCAATGTACAGGCAAGTTGCTTCGGGTGCGCACCAGCTCCCGCTGAAGGTTGCATAGGCTCTGCACCCCCCAGCATCCCATCCAGCAGACCTTCCCAGTTCCGAGTTTATAACTGACAGCCCGGGCACGGTTCGGAATTTGTGTCGATCGTCTGCATACCCGACGAACCCCTATCCGGCCAAATCTCAAACATCGCCAAATACTCATGTCAAGACACACATGCGCAACAAGGCGAGAAAGCGCGTCTTCGGTTCCCCCGATATCTTATGAACGGAATCGAAGGGCGCGATCTGGGATAAAAGGAGAGTTTATCTGCTGAGCCACGGCTCCGTGCGGCAGCTGTAGGGCTGACTGTCGACCGCCTCTGATCCGAGGCGTCCAATCTGTGTCTTGGACATGCCCTTAGCCATCTCGATCAACGGTAACGCCTTGGCCAAATTCGTATCCAACACCGGATTGCGGCACAGACGTGCAGCGATTGTGGGCCATTCAATTGGGGTTTCACACAAACCGCAATTTACCACGAAGTTGTTGAATCCTTCGCCGTTACTGCGGCTACCCAGGGCATAACAGAGTCACCAATCACCCTGTTCCGCTCATCCTGTTCCATGGGATTTAGGCATGATACAACGCTGGTGTCGCAAAAAGGAGAAAAAAATCCCACAGGTCAACTGAGGTCATTTCAACCCCACCAAGGCTTGCATGCATCGCCCAGTTGACCCTGGCCGCAATGACATTTGCAAACATACAGCCCCTGCACGCCGCCGTCGCGCAAGCACGGGTTTGAGACAGAACTGTGTCCCTCTTCAGAGTCACCCCGGCCAATGAACGGCCATCTCCTCACGGGATCTCACCTGGAACTGGCTGGCCGACTCCTACTGCCGGTGGTAGGCAGCAACATGGGTCATGGTGTTGCACGGCGTAGCACTGGACGGTGACTGCCCTTCATCCCCGTCCGTGCCTGATGAGGACGTGGTTGGGGGGGGGGGGGGGTTATAAGTAGGGAAATCCTTCAGGTTGCCTAACGGGAGTCATTCTGTCCTAGTTGCTCCTTTAAAAGGCATCCATCCACTCTCCTGGACGCCTCAGATATCGACACTCAATCATCACACCGAACGCTAACGAAGACGTATCACCGCAAAGATGCTCGCTGGCGTGGCTATAGGCCTTCGGGTCCTCCAGGTAGGATCATACTCTCCGCTACAGCGACAACAGGCTCGCTAACACAACGAAGTTCATCTTTGGTGTCGCAGTCCTAGGCCTGTCCGTTACCCTAGTCAAAGCTCAGGTCTATGGCTCTGCACCCACGACCACAAAATACAGCACATTCACGGGCGGCTTCGGCGTCTTCGCTGCCATTGTCGGTGCGGTCGGGCTCTTCATCGAGGCCATCCCCGACATCGCCAACATGGCCCTGGACGGCCTGTCCTCTGTCCTCTTGCTCGCCGGCGGCATCGCGTGGACTGTCGGCTTCCAGGGCGTGCAGTGCAAGGATAACGCCGGCAGGGATAACGTCGTTAAGATGATCCAAAACCCCCTCTTAAACCAGGGTGAGGATGGAGAAGGACGTTATGGGTTTTGGGACTACTCCAAGGAGGATGATGAGAATGGCAACCGCCTTCTCAGCAACTGCCAGAAGGGCTTCTCGGACCAGATCCTTCAGTTCGTCGCGTTTGGAATTGGTCTCGCCCTTATTGGAGTGGGCTATGTGCGCATGAGGAGGGGTGGAACGACGGCTTCCTATGTCTAAGCTGAGGCTTTCTCGATATCTTCTCCATTGCTCAACCAGACTGTCACTCCGCAGCCTCCCTGGTGCGATACGCCAACACCGAAGACACACAGCGATCACCTACTTGGTTTCACTCAATTCGTCGGTCCTTTCTTAAGACACCAAGACTCCTTCCTCGAAACACACTGTCCCCCCCGAGTCGCGCAGAACGGTCCGTCCCTGGGCGCACCCGTAGATATGTCAGCTCTGCATTCGGATTCACCAATTCGGCTCCACGGTTGGGTTACACTTTGAACGATGCGATGAATATGCCCTTCTTGGTTCTGAGATACTTGTAGGGTAGACGAAGCGTCGTTGGAGATCGTTGCGATACGATGCACGAGTTCGGAGGTGGAGGTAATGCAGGGATGCACAAGATGCGCTAGGCAGTAATACAACATGACCTTCCCATTCTTCTCCCCAAACCGTCGCAGTGGGCAGGCCTCAAAGCTATTCTGACAGTCTCGAACTCTGAAGGGAAAAGAAAAAAAAAAAGGAGGGGTCCTTCCATTAAAAATTGTTTAGGGAGTGGACAACAAAAAATGATGACGAGAGTGGGATTCGAACCCACGCCCTTTCGGACCACGGAATCAAGATCTCGGAAGATGGTGATGTTATTAAGGAGCTCCTTAACGTGGCGCCTTAGACCGCTCGGCCATCTCGCCGTGTTATTGGGTAGTATATGCAGGGAGAAAATCTCTCATGGCGTGACTTTGTGGGTGGGTGGACAGGGCTGGAAAGTTGTGGGTGCGGGGTGTGGATGGTGGGGGTTGGGGCTGCTGTCAGGGGTGGTTCAGTTGGGGAAGTGGGACGGGAAGTGAGGATGGTGGGTTGTGGGCAGCCTGGACTGAACCTTCAGAGAACGTTGATCGCCGTATCGAATGCAATTAAGGGACCAGAATGCATCCCGCTTATCATAGAATCTTTCCGGTACTAGGCGGATGTGGGTTTGTCGCTCAGAATACAAGTTGAGGTTGTTGTCTTCAGAACGTCAAACTCACGACGATGAGGATACTGCAACAAGATAGTGAGGTTGGAGTACCCATCCAAGAGCATGCTCAACAGCCTTTGAGAGAGTGAGCACACCCATATCTCACTTTGCCAAAAGGAACTTCCAAGTTCACTGAACATTTTCAGCAGGCTGACACCCTCTCACCCCTTCTACCTCCCAAGTCCAATTGAATTCATGAACCCTTTGGCGATGCCTTCAAACCTCTTGACCCTTTCGGCGATACCTTCTACTTCAGCGCCGACCCTCCCAGCAAAACCCCCTACAACTTCGGACTCCCCTCCCTCTCCATAACCACGACCAATTTCCCAAACTGCCTCCCCCCCTTCATATCCTCAAACAACCCCTCAATCCCCTCCAAATTATCCAACCCCCTCACCACCCGGCTAACCACCGGCCTAACCCCCTTCTCCCTCACAAATTCCGCCATCTCCCTAAACTCCTTCTTACTCCCCATCGTGCTCCCCTTCAACTCCACATTCTTCAGCATCGCCTGAACGTTCCACTCCATCTTCGGCCCCAGCGTCATCCCGTAGCACACAATGACCCCCCCGTTCTTAAGCACCCTCACCGTGCGATTCACCACGTCCCCACCCGTCCCATCAATGACCGCATCCAACAGCGGTTTCTCCTTCGGTAACATCTTCCCCAGCTGCTTCTCCCAATCTGCGTCCTTGTAGCTCACGCCGCCTTTCGCGCCCATTTGGACGGCTTTGTCAATTTTCTCTTGGCTGCCGCTGGTAACCCACACGTTACAACCCATTGCAACTGCGAATTGGAGAGTCTGGAGCGCGACGCCGCCTCCGATGCCGGTGATTAGGATATTTGATTCCCGCTGTGCAGCTCCGGATTTAGTAACGAGGGCTCTCCATGCTGTGACACCCACCAACGGCAACGCGGCGCCCTCGGCGGGGGTCAAATGTTCCGGTGCGAGAACCACCTCGTCTTCGTCGACGACGATGTACTCTTGGGCTGTGCCGAGGTCGTAGCCCGCGGAAGAGCCGATGATGCCGTACTTGCGGGGATCTTCCGGGCCGGAAGGGTCGGATTCCCAGCCGCGGTGGGGGAGGAGGAGGATGTGCTTGGAGTGGAGAGAGGGTGAGGTGTTGGGGCCGGATTCGACGACGGTGCCGTAGCCGTCGGCGAGGAAGGGGGAGGTGAAGGAGATGGCGGGGTAGAGATGTTGGCGGATGAAGAGGTCGCGGTGGTTGAGAGCGGCGGCCGAGAGTTTGATGAGGAGTTGGCCGGGGCCGGGTGCGGGTTTGGGGACTTCGTTGAGTTGGAGGCTGATGTTGTCAGTTAGATGAACGTATTTTGATATATATAAAAATATAGAGGGCTGCTCACGGATACCAGACCTGGCCTGGTTTGCCCTCCGTCTTCTTCACCGTGATGGAGTATGGCATGGTGACCCAATTGAACTCAATTGATGAGATTTGAACTGATGCGACGCTGCGTATTCTGGAGCTCAGTGAAAAATCTTGTGGAAGTGAAACCGCGATTGATAACTGAAGCTGAAGGGCGGCCTTGACATCATCGGATATAGGTCGGGGTAAAGCATGGAGCGGGCCGATCGACGCGCCGTGTTGCCCCGCTCCCGCAGGAATTCGTGAGCCGAGGCAAGACGGCCGATGATCAGCCAACATGTCCACCCGCTCCAACTCCGCGCCGGACCTGCAACTGACAAATCAAAGCACCAACACCGCCCGGACGGGTCAACAGAGAATATCTGGTTGGGTATCATGAGTTCCTGGTACAAGCTAGCAGGCCCTTCCCCCGCCGGCCCGCCTTCCATTACTCGTGCGACTTCTTTCGTTTCTTCGACTTGCCCGCATCCTCCTCTGGCGGCACGAATTCCTTTTCCCTTTCCCTCTTCTTTTCCTCCTTCTTTTGCTTGGCCTTCTCGGCTCGCTCTGCCTCGGCCACCCTCTGCTTGGCCTCCTTGCCCAGGAAGTACTCTCCGCTCTCGATCTGCAGGTCCACCTTGCTCTTCTCCGGTGCTGGCGGGAAAGGCGTATACGACTTGTTGGACTTATCCGCCACCTTGAACGGCACCCGTCTCTTGGAGAGAGTTCTCTTCTTAAAGTTGGGGAGATATCGGCTCCAGTCTTCGTTGGCGAGCGCTGGGTCTTTGGCGAGCTCCCGTTTGATCCTAGTAGCCGTTAGAAGTCGCAACACAGTCGCATTTTGGAGCTACTCACATCAATTCCTTGATCAAATAGATGGGGTGGACGTTCTCCATTGTGTCCTCAACCACTCGTCGAACCTCTTTCAGCCCCTTGAATGGTCCCATGACCGAGACAGTGTTTCCGTGCACCAGGATATATGTTTGCGTCAGGAGTTCGAGCGCTTTCAGTGCTGCGGGCTGTCAGTTCTGGTCTTCCCCGGTATGACGCCGCAACTTACTTGTGCCGTTCTGCCCCAAAATACGTTGTCGTCGCTTGACAAACCGCTCTTTATTCCGTACCATGGTGCGGATCTTGATAATGTCGCAAGCCATGCCGTCCTCCAAGATCTTGATCGCTTGCGGCGCAGGAACCGAACGAGCAAGAAGTTTGATCAAATCTCGGGCATTCAAAATAGCTGCGGGGTCAAATGTCTACGCAAACATGTCAGCGCATAGAACAGAGACAGGCCGAATTGGTCGCAAGTACCTTTCTGGTGGTCTTCACCGTCATCGAACCCTCGACAAGGTCGAGAATTGCCGTGATGCCAAATTTGTCGAGAGCCTTGGTGATCATAGGCCACGAGTCGCGCAGGTATCGTTCGCGGTACTTCGGGAACAAGGTCATGAAGGATGACTCCTCCAAAAACGGACCAGGCGCATCATCTTTGGTGAAGGGTTCGATCTTCCACTTGTCGATGTCGTCCGTATCCCACGGCTTCTCTTTCTTGTGTGTCGACGGCATTTTGCCGGCTGCTGTGTATTTGTCTGTTTGGCGGTATGCGCAGCTACAGTAGAATGGCGAGGCAGCAGGATTAGGTTTTCCGTTGAGGTTTGCTGAAGTGACAGCCTGCTGGTTTTGGTCAAGATTGTAAGACTTTGATGCCCTCTAGGAAATTTTGGAGAACGAGCCGCGAAACTTTTGAGTGGGGCAGAGAGCCAACTTGCCAGCTGGCAGCGGCTGAATTGCCAACACAGCTTTGACAGCGCCTGCGCGTTGCTCGCCGACCAGCAAAATTATCACCGAAGATTCAATTCGCATTGACGCTTCTGATTGAGAACCATATCAGTATCCATGAGTGGACGGCCCAAGGCGGGACCAGTATTCACGCCGTAGACCTACCTTCCAAGCCTAGATCTTGTCGCAAAGACATAGTTTAGACTTATCGCCTATCTTATCTCAAGTCTTCAGCAAATGCCCAGCAAATGCTCGAGCGCTGGCGAGATCAAGACCAGGATATCAATGTCCGCGTTCAACGTCATCCATGGTTGGTGATGAGTGGAGGCTCAAGGTGAAGGTCATGTTTCTCGATGCCCCTCCAGGAGCTTTACGCATGCACACGCCATCCAAACGATTTCATCCCCCAAGCTTCCAGAATCAAGACCTCAAGAGAGATGACCCAGGCCAGATTGATCGAGAATCCGTATTATCTTCAGGTCCGACGCGCAGCGCGTAAGGCTGCCCGCTTATCGCTGGCCGGCCAATCAGTGCGCTAATCGCGCTACATGCAGGCGCCGCGGGTCCGCATTGAGTGCGCTGGAACCGAGCATTCACTCCGCCTGTAGCACAGCGCATTCCGAGCCACTAATAATTTCTAGGTCCATCTTTCAGCGTCGGTTTCCCGCGTTCTGTCCATCTTTGAACCTTACCTCTTTTCCACACCCGCCACGCCTACCTTCATTCACAGTGCTTCCCCGAGAAAACCAATTATTTTAATGTATTACACTTGAGGAGCAAGACTATCCGTCATTTCACTTTTCCAGTCCTCGCATCACTCACTAGATCGACCCGTTCTTCACAGGTCGGCGTCCGTCGGTCCTGGACAAGTGTTCGACCCATCACATCAACCCACCACCTTTCCACGAAACGTTGTCAACGCAAACCGCAGTCCACAATCCGGCGCCGCAACCTGATCGCGTTCTTATCGGACGAGATAATCGCGAGCCGCCCCCAGATACCACCTGCGCAATCGCACGCATCGCGTGTGCGCCTGCATCACCCCGAAGTCACCACAACACCGTCAAGCTGGCGCAAAACGAGTCTCCGTATCCCGAACCCCCGGCCCCTCCGCCGCTGTCGCCTTTGACGCCGCCTGCGGACTCGGAGCTGGTCGCGGCGCTCACCAAGATGGACGAGGGCCCGCAGCTGCTGCCGCCGCTTCCTCCGGCCCTCGAACACGAGCCGATTTCGAGACCGAGCTCCACCTCGACGCAAGCCTCGGCGGCCCAAAGCATTCAACAAAGCGGACTTCCGGGCATTGCGGCTCTTGCCACAGCAACCCAGGCGGCCAACTCCCCGCAAGCAAGGTTAGTTCATGGCACCGAACCTGCGGCAACAAGGCGATGGAAAAAGACCGACTCGGCGGCCGTGTCTTGGGATTGCGATGCACATGGAGCAAGGTCCCGCCGCTCTCATCTCGATGAGGCTATCGCACCTCGATAGCCACCTCTACCTACTCGCAGCTCAAAAACGCGCCGCCTGCCCGCTATCT